GAAAAAAAAAAATTTAAAAAAGTTCCGAAAACCATTTAAGAAAAAATAATAATTGTCGCCGTAAAAATATGTTAGAAAAAGTGCAGAAATGTTTAAAAAATTGTAGAAAAATACAAATATAACATTACAGTTATTTGAATTACTTCTTTTATTTATTTACTATCATTTTAACAATTCAAATAATTGAAATGCTATATATTTAAAAAAAATAAAATAACTTATAGGAATTTTTTTTTTTTTTTTAATTTTAAATATTTCATAAACGAAGGAATATTTTTTTTTATAATTTTAAATATTTCATACATTTTTACAAATTATTATGTATACTAAATTAACAAAAAATGTGGTTCTTAAAAAATTTAATATTGTTTTATCATAACCTTTTTTAACGAAAAAATTTTAATTTTCAATAGTTTTTTGCTCAAACAAAAAGTCAACGTTTCATTCTTTATAATAGTTTAAGGAAAAAATTCACAATTTATTCCACGAAATGCGAAAAAGTCCATACTCACATCTTGTTGCGGCATTTGTTGTTGTTGCTGCTGCTGATAGGCGCCAGCATCATTATTGTCGCCCGCAGCGGCCACTGGCGCCGGACCCGGTATAAAGAAACCACTTTGCGGCACTGCAGCCGGGGGCAAGGCCGGAGCCAGCACATTTTCCACCGCCTTCATAGGGGCACCTGAGGGATTGAACACATCGACGTAAGAATTCTTCAAGGCTGCAATTGAAAAAGCAAATATGTAATTGATTAAAAGAATAGTATAAAAATACCCTTATTTTGTTTAAATATTTTAAAAAAATTTTATTTATTTTTTAATATTTTTATATTTTTTTTTTTTTTTTTTTTTTTTTTTAATAATTTTATTAAGAAAGAAAGAAAAAGTGACTCACTTCGATTGCGTTGCATTTTGAACATATTCGACTGCAAACTGGGCGTTTTAGTTGCGCCTGCCGCATCGGTACCGGTCAACGCATGCGCACTGTAGCCGGAGACGGGCGCTGGTGAGACGGCAGGGGCTGATGATTGTGTGGGCGCAGCATACTGTTGTGTGTCGAGCAATGGTGAGGGCTGTTGCTGTGGTGGCTGAGCTTGCAGTTGTTGTTGTTGTTGTTGCGGTTGTGATTGTGGATACGGCTGTGACGCAGTTGGCACATTGGACGCACCCATTGCTGGTGGCGCTTGTGCCATTATATCGCTCATTTTTGGTGGCGGCTTGAAGCTTTCTTCGGCCGCTTCGTCACCATCTGTATTTACCCATTTTTTCTTTTCCGGATCCCAAACTATGCTGGGATTCTTATCGTCGGGCAAGATCATTTGATTTTTGGGCTTCAGTGAAAGCTTGTTCCAAATGCCGCCGAACCAGCCGGAATTTTGATTACCTAGCTGGGAGCTGGAAAGTAAATTCATTTATATTAGAAAATATAAATAATATATTACAAATAAGGCAAGTTCAAAAGCTTTGTGAAAGCTTTGGTGAGAGTAAATAAAGCTTGAGGTAGCATAAAAGTAAATTAATATCAATTGGAAACAGGAATCAGGTGTAAAAAGTTATAGGGATCTGTGAAAGTTGAAGTTGGAGAAAAAAAAACTATTAAGTACCACGAAAGCTTTAAAAAAATCAAAACAAAAAACTACATAAATATGGTTACGGAACGTTTACGGTGTTATATTTGTAAGTAAAAACTTAAAAATTCTCCACTTTCTCAGAGGAAAAAACTAATAAGTACTACACATTAGAGAGCTTTCAAAGCTTTGTGTTTTGCACTCTTAATACATTATTAAAAGCTTTCGTGATAAACAGCTTTAAATATAAACAACTTGAGCTTTCGAAGATAAACAGAAAGTTTTGCAGGTTTTGAAAGCTCTCAAATTTTTAAAAGCTTTCATTATAACAACCAAGCTTTCGGTAAAAAATACAGCGAAAGGTAATGTTAATCTCTACGTTCACTCACCTTTTTTGCGTCTCCTTGCCAGCCTCACTTTTACCACCCTTCTGCTCACTCAGTTTTTTGCCGACATCGTTGGCATTCGCCTTCTGCTGCTGCTGCTTATCATCTTCCGCATCATAAATTTTCGATTTCGGCATGGATATGATGGGCCGCGCATTCTAAAGGTTATTGACGAAGTTTTAATGTTACATTTGCAATGCATTGTTAAGAAATTAGGAATAAATTAAAAAATAAAAATAGCTGCATATATAATAGCTGTAAAAGTACTGCAAGATAATTGTGTTTAGTCAAAATTTACAGCAGCCATCGTTAAAACAACCGGCGTTAGTAGCTTATTTAAGAGAAATTAAATGAAATTAATAAAATGCAGTTAAAAAAGCTTAAAAGCTTTCAAAAGCATCTAAAAGTTGCACACAAGTTTTAACACAGCAAGCTGGTATATGTATTCCACATGTTGAATCGAAGTTCTTCGTAGTTTCCACACGCAGCTTTCACCTGTAGCCAGCAGCTTGCACTAAAAATTTGAAGCTTGCGAAACTTTCATGTAGAATAAATGCGTAGTTTTTCTAAATTTAATTGCATGTGTGTTTATAAGTGAAAGCTTACTTTAAATTTAACACTTTCACCGAAAAACACTTAAAGCTATTTTTACTGTTACCGAGAAAAGCTTTTAAGGCGCAGACGCAAAATGCTTTTATCGTGTAGTTGAGACTAATTTTTAGCTTAAACTATTTGGTATTAGTCTATAAATTTGCTTTGGCTGTAATATAATTTTTATTAATACAGTTATTGGCTTTCTTGTAAGCTTTTATACAGTTTATATCTGAGTAACAATTTAATTAAGCACATTCTTTATGTTTTTCATTTCTAATTTTATTTTCATATTTTTACAATGAGCACAAACAGTTACAATTCCATTTTTCAGATTTATATGATATTTTTAGTTAAGAAAAACGACTTCTTAAAGACAAAACAAATATTTTTGCAAGCGAAACCTTTTTCTTTTAAGTTTGCTGATTTTTCCAAGAAAAAAAATTATAATAATTTCTACTTCAAGTGTAAATGTAGTTCTGATGTGTTTGGGTGTCACAAATTTCAGAAAATTTAACACGAAAAAACATATGTGTATATATTTTTTTTAAGAAAATTAAATGAAAATTAAAAATTGATTACTTAAAATAATTAAAAAAAGTAAAATAAATTTCATTTAAAATTAAAAAAAAAATATATATAATTGGTATTAAAAAAAAAATAATTTAACAAAAAAATTTAAAAAATTTAGATATGACTTTTTTAAAGCATTCAAATTAAAAAAAAAATTTGATAACCAAAACTTAAAACAAAATTAAAAATCAAAAAGATTTAATTATACAGTTTTACAATTGCAGAAGTATAATTTATGAGATTAACAAAATTTGGTTTAAATTTAGTTTTCAAAAATTATTAGTTTTCTACAAATATTTGCAATAATAAATGCATTAAAATTCACACGAATCGTTATCATAAGCAAATTTTTTTCAATTCAATTTATTTATTTATTTAAATTCAACTTCCAATTTTGCTATAAAATTTCTTTTCAAAAAGAACTCGATTGAATTGAAAATACTATAACTCCTACATATTCATCAGAAAGTAAGCATGGTTGAAGCTTTTTAACATACATACATACATATGTATGTATTTTAAACACAAATAAATTATGGTATGTTTAAAAATGTGTTACAAGTAAAAAAAATGGCATAAATGCGCACTGAGTAGCGCTATTGTATGCAAAATGATCAAATTCTGCCACTTTGGACACTTTCTGATACTTCAAGTTGTTGTAAAACAATATTAAATGTATACAAATGACATTAAAATGCAAAAAAAAAATTGTTTACAATAACTCTACATAATACCTTTTAAGTATCCAAAGCTTATTGAAGTGTTAAAAAGTTGTCTGGGAAATAAGCGCAGTGATTTTTAAAACTTTTCCAAAAGTCTACAAAACTCTACACAATATTTATCAAGTCTCCAAAGCGTATTTAAGTCTTAAAATGTGGTCAAAAACTGTCTAGGAAAAGTGCGCAGAGATTTTTAAGACTTTTTCAAAAGTCTCCAAAATCTGCAAAATCTAAAAAATTGCTGAAAATTTTAAAAATTCAAGTTTTACGCAGAAAAAATTAAATACATAGTGCTTAAAAGAAATTTAAAGCAATATTGAACAAATTTTGAAGTATATTTGTTTTACCAATATAAAATTAGCAAAAAGTACTACAGTTAAATATATTTAACAAAAGTGAAGGGGTTATCAAATTATCTGAACGCCGATAACAATTCGTAAGAATGAATTTTTAATTATAGAGGCTCGAATTCATTATTAGAAAAAAAATTTATTTGTTCGCCTTGAGTTGCTAAAATTTTAAGCGAAATGTACATTTTTCAATATTTTATAATTAAACATTTTTTTTTTTCGGGAAAAGGACTAGCTATTATGAGATTAATTTTTTATAATAATATTACAACAAAAAATTATAATAGAGTTACATATGTATATCCATGTAGCTAACTCAAATTAACACAGAACATAGCATAACACATAATAGTTGTATATAACCGTCGAATTATGTAATTCAAACCGCTTTTGGAAACAATTTTTATTGATTGAATAAGGCGTTATTTAACCTGACACATTCTGCTTTCAAAAGTCTATCGGAACCTACACTTTTGAATCACCCCTAAATTGCCAACACTTTCACCAATCGTCAACTTAAATATGCTTCTTGTCCTGCGGCTCGCCAATCGGCCCATCTATATCATAAGTGCGCACTGGCTGCTGTTGCGACTTGCGTTGCTCGAAAGTTTTCGAATCCAGGTACTTCTCAAACGACGTCAAACTCTGCTCGACTTCATGACACATCTTCTGATAGTTGAGCGGTATTGCCGGGTTCGCGATGAGCTCTTGCATCGACCAGACAGCATGATGATTGCTAGTGGTCACAGTGCCACTAGCAGCCTCAGCGCCGGTCAGGGACACGCTGTTGGAAGTGCTCACCTCGCGTATAACACCGAGTCTGTTGAGCAATGTGCCGCGCTCGGGTCGGTCCTGCTCCGGCAGGAAGGCAGCCATATTGTACGGCATGCGTTCATTCACTTCATCGAATTCGAGTTCATCAGCTTCGTTATAATCATAAGTGTCAGCATCATCGTCATCAACCATATACTCATCATCATCGTCGTCGTCGTCATCCTCATCTTCCTCGGCCACATCGTCGAGTAAGTCATGATCATCCAGATCGTAGTCGTTCAGTATGTGTGTGTATTTGAGACGTGTCGTTTGCGCATTCGCTTCGGGATCATAGTCGCGTCCCAGCGCTTCGAAACGTGATTGTAGTGGCAAGTCGATGGGGTAGGTGCCGTTATAGACGATTTGCTTGTAGGGCGAGAGGTGCGTTCTAGCCAATTCGGCGCGATTGGAAGCTTTGCGTGCGTAATGCGGCAGTGTGAATGGCTTGGAAGTATCATTTGCCGATGCGCTTGAGCCGCGCTGATAGGCAGCGAGCGTTTTTGTCGCTTGAGCGTTGGCAGCTAAGGGCGTAGTTGTGGAGTTGGAAGCGCTTGTGGAGTTAGTGCGTGCTTCATTGCTGATGCCTTCGGTGCCGAGTGCCGCTGCCTTACTACTTGTGTGGCTGTTACTACTATTTCTACTACCACTATTACTAACACTACTGCTATTGCTGCTAGCTTGTGTACTAAAATTGGCAACACTGGCAGATGGTGGCGACGGCGGAAATTTCCTATTTGCGGCCTCAACCCGAGCCGCCGACACCACACTGTCCACTTTTTGTGGCAAATCGAAATTGACGCGCTTTACCGGAACGTTCGCATTGGCATTCGAAGTTGTGTTCGAATTCGAACTTAAATTACTAGTTAACTTATCATTGCATGTATTAATGGTTTGTGCAAGCTTTTGTTGTTGCAGTGGCATATTCTGCTTTTGTTGTTGCTGCATTTGTTGTGGTAGCACACCATTATTAGGTTTACTTACATCTGGCGGCACGCTGAGGAACGATGTGGTCAAAGTAGCTGCGTGTTGTTGCTGTTTCGCATTGTTGTTGTTGTTGTTGTGATTGGTGTTGGCCTTTTTTGCGACACGCGTTTGCGGTCCATCATAGCTATTATATAATTTGGCTGCTGCAGCGGTGATTTCCAAGGGTTTGTCTTTCGGTTGTTGTAATTTTCGTAAACTCTCCAAAGTAGTTTTATATGTTGTAGTTGTTTGTGACTTTGCTTGAAGTGGCATTTGCTTCAATGCCAGCATATCATCATTATTTAGATAGGCTTCCACGTTTTTTGCTGTATCCTTAAGTGTTGTTTTTGTTATCCCAATAGCGGGCTCATCATCATTTGCGGCGTGCTGCAGCAGCATAATTCCAATCAAGGTAAGCATGCGTACAAATTTGTAGGATTGTGGTAAATTTATGTTAAAAGGAAAGTAAATTTCAAAAAACGACGGTGGCCAAATAAAAGCAGGCAATTGGAGAGTGAAAACTATAGGATTCAGCGTGCGAAAGATAACCGATATTGTATAAACCTTTAATAACATTACAGTTAGTTACTGAAGAGCTTTCAAAAGAGCAAAAATGTGTAAAAAGCCAGGAAAGAAAAGTCACACAAATATGAAAAAGTCTCCAAATTGTAAAAATTTTAGCATACGCTTGCAATTGAAAACTTGCCAAAGTTCATACATAAATGTCAAAAGCCTCCAAAGTCTACACAAACTCTTAAGCGTACTTTTTCTCATTAATACATTAAATCGGAGTCGAAGATTATTATATTGCCTTTTTAACCAAAAATTAAAAGTCTACACAAGTCCCCAAAAATATTAAAAACTCTCCAAATGCATAATTTGAGTTTTAAAATTTCTAAACATATTTAACAGTAATAGTCGTAATTATGGGTAACAATGTAAAGCTGTAGAATCATATCTTATTTGACCACTTTACATTCTCTGCATACAAGCTCCAAAACAAAGCTTTTCAACAGAAACAACAGGTGCGAGCTCTTTTAATAACAGCGCAACGGTGCTTATATTGGAAAGTGGTGCAAGGGACATTTTTTTCATAAAAAATATATGGGCTCTTCAGGGACCTCCACGAATCCACTTTCGTACTAAAATTTCTGCATAACATTTTTATTCTCATTTAACGGCAAGCGTACAAGTTCACACCACTTACCTCGTCGCCATAACCGGCATGTTGTGTTTGCTGTTGTTGTTGATTTTCTTGTGCCCAGTAATCATAAGCGGCAGCATTATTTTGCGCATCCACCGCTTCTGCGCCATAACCTTGATAATGTTGCTGTTGTTGTGTGGGATCATAGTAAGGAATAGAGTGAGGTTCCTGTTGTTGCGGTGGCTGCTGCTGCGCATCTATTGACTGCATATACTGTTGCTGTTGATTGTAATAAGCATATGATGCATCGCCAGCCACGTGATTCGGAGCTTGTGAATCTAGGCTCGGTTGTTGACTATTATAGTCGCCAGCCACTGCTGTTTGTTGCTGATTATAATGCTCAGCAGCTATATCATTATGTGGTTGTTGTTGCTGCTGTTGCATGGTGTCTGGATTGTAAGGGGTAGGCGTTTGTTCGACGTTGCCGAGACCTTGATATTGCAAATTCAGCTCATTAAATTGTTTATTTATCTCGACAAATTGTTGATCGATTTGACTCTGTGTATCGGCAATTTGTCCATACACCGGTGCAGCAGGGCTGGTATATTCGTTCTGAAAAAAATCAATTTGAAATCGTAAAGTGTGGATTTTATTAAAATATTAATAGTGTGTGGCATAAAAATGTTCGTCAAACCTCCTCTAATAGTGCTGAATAGCTTATAAGCAAAACTTTTGCATTTGAAATGCGCTGAATATGTAATAAAATATACTAAAATACTAAACATGCTGAATAGACATCATAGCATCCCTGTTTATTTTATATACAAAGTGATTTGAATTTGCGCTTTATCAAAGCTCAATATGCGTTAGAACCATTTCCGCCAACAAAATAAATATATATAACACTTAAAAATGCGCTGAATAACAATAATGAGTACTTTTATGCACTAAAGAACAGTTTGTATATTTAATAAAGCACGCTGAACAGCTGCATATGCATTGAACAAAAGATTGTTCAACTTAAATACGTTCGTAAGGTAAGATAAAAACTTAAGCTTTACTACGACCGCGCTGTATAGCTAACAGTAATTGACTTTTTAACTGTGCTGAATACACAAATATTAAAAAACGCATAATACGACTTATTAAGTGAGCTGAATATACAAATATATTAAAAAATACGCTTAATATGCCATACAACTTGATAATGCAAGTATAAAAACATAATATGGTGGCGAAAAGGCCTTTAAAAATGCGCTGAATAACAGTTATGACAACTATTAAGAATTGAGAAGTAATCAGTTATTTAAAAATATGCACTCAACAGTTGAAAAAACGTTTTTTAAACATATTTTCTTAGCTTAAGTAAGATACAATGAAAATTTTAAACGTAGCGTTCACTACAAACGCGCTGAATAGCTGAAAATATAAACGTTTGTTTGTCAAATACGCAATCAATAAAACTGCATAATAAATTGTTTTGAATGCCGCTGAATATGAATTATAACAGCTTTGCGGATTTGAATAACAATATATTCACTTCAGAAAGCAATTAATTGTTAGGTAGAATTAAAATTTATTTAAAAATTTTAGTGTAAATATATTCTGCACGTCTCACAAAGGCTTACAAAACAGTTTTGGAATAGACTTGAATTAAAAAAAAGAAACAAGCAGCTGAATTGGAAAATACTGATTTAAGTTGTCATAATACCACTGAAAAACTATGTATATAAGACATTATGACATGCAATTACGCGCTGAATTAATAATGATTAAATGGTATTGATTGCTTGATTGCATCAATGAGCTAGTTATATGCGGCATATGACATTATATATTTATTAAATACATTATTTTTATTTTTTATATATTTTTGTATTATTCACTACTATGCAGCAATTATATTCTAAAATATTTATAGCAACTCATTACTTTTCACCTACACTCACCTTATGTTGCACTGCCAGGGCGCGCAAGTCTTGCAACCACTTTTGCTCCTCAAAATTCGGCAACTGACTATTTAATCCACCCTCAGTATGGTGTTGTTGATCGTCCATGGAGCGTTCCAGCACTGGGTCGTAGTATTTGAGACGATCGGCAAAGTCGTAAATCTACGAAGAAAAATAGTATTTTGATTGATATAATGTTTGCTTTTAAGCCAAAAAATCGCGTAATGACTCACCTTATTAATGAAGCTTGGTTCGTATTTGCACGGATCGCGTTGTATGTGCAGCGCGATTTGTTCGAAATACATAAGACTACGTAAATTATAGCCATAATCCAACAGGCGTGTGGCCAGCAAATATTTATAAGGCTAAAAAAACAATAAATATATATTATACCGTAGATTAGAGTTTAGCATCAGCTTCCGGCTTACCTGAAACTCGACTAGCGAGAATTTATCATCATTCAATGAACAGGCATACTCATATATCTCGGTCATCATGATGGCTTCGTTGGCGGCGAAGTCGTTGAAGTATTTATAATGTGATGAGCCAAGCAAAACGAGCCTGAAAATATATAAAGAGCGTTGATAAATTTTTTTTTTTGAAAGTTATAAAAAAAATTTTTTTTTTTGAAAGTTATAAAAAAAAATTTAATAAAAAATTAAACAAAAATAACAACATAAAAAACTTACTTGGGCAAATGCTGTTGCAGTGTGTTCTCCAGTGTAGCGCACTCTTGGTAGCGCCCGAAACCCACTTGCGCCATTAGGTAACAGAAGTGCGCCGCAAATAAATCACCACGATTGAGCAACGAATCACCAAGCGTTGTTATCGACTTACGATCTAATTCAGGCTTTTGTGATGTATTTGAGAGTATCATCGAAAGATGTGGACGCCAATCGCCCCATTTCTCGTCCTGTACACTAGTCACGCTAGACGGCTGGCGGCCGCTCATCAGCTGATAGAGCGTTTGCAGTGGATCGTTAAGTGACAACTTGTTGGCGAACTTCGTCATGACATTGGCGTGTGAACGCCGATCCACTTTGGAGGCTAGAAAGAGCGCATGACCCCACAAATTGTTATCGGTGGCCCAGTCGAGCGCCTCATTCACATTGCCATACAGCAAATAGTTACGGAACTTTTCGGTTATCTCATCATCGTTGAGCACTGGTATATTGCTGATGGTTGTGGTGGATTTGGGTGCTTGTTTGCTCGAATTAGTAACGCTTTCAGCTTCGTTACCCGAGTCAAGTTCGGTATTATTCTGTTCTGCAACAGCGGAGTCGGTTGCTGGTGCTTGCTGTTCATCTGCCTCATCACCACTGAGTGCCGATGAGTCGCCACCGTCAGTGTGCTCGATTTGATAGGGGAATTGTTGTTGATTTTTCAAGAGTAATTCCGCAATATCCGTGCCAACGACCATCTGTATGTCGGCCAAGTTTTTAATGCATAAAATATCTAAAAATATATAGAATTTATTTCTATACTTACGCCATTTTGACGCAACAACAAGATCAGCAGGTTCCACATCAACGTATAGGAGCCACGATATTTCTCAATATTATTGGACACCAGCTGCTTGGCGTAGATGGTGGTCTCCATGGGACCCAAACGTATTTGCTCCTCGCAGAATTCAATAATGGTCTTCTTGTGTGTGAGGCCACGCACCAATGGTCCCGGATAGGTCTGGAAGAGTTGGCGTGTTGCATCGTTGGCACCTAAGCGCTGCAACTTCACAATATTACTAATGGCGCCATGTGAAGTGTACTTCGGTTTAACGGTAACGAGTATGCCGGCCGACAGTGAAACGATTGAGTGCTCGTTAACGAATTTACGTGGTGTGAGTCGTTGTGGATCAGGTTCGGCGATGGCTTCGGCATCGCGTAATGACAGATGACCCGATCTAGAAGTGTAGTGAGAGTACGGTTAGTAAAATATTCGGACAAATTTTTGAAAATATAAAAACGAACTAAATTATATTTTTAAAATGAAGCACTTATAAGTTCAAAAGTAGAACAGTAAATATAATAAAATGATAAAAAAAAATATCTTAAGCGAAATTATTACATAAAATAAGTAAATTATTTAATATACAGCTGCTGATTTGTAGTACAGCGCATGCGCAACGTATAACCTATTTAATTGCTCTGAGACCATGCAAGATTTCTTAGAGAAAATGTAATAAAAATAGATTTTTGAGTAGAGTATATATTTTAGTGAGTATTTTTCGTTATAAAATTTATATATGTAAATATGTCTTTGTGGGTATTGTTTATAGTTAAAAAAAAAAACATATTTTTTTTATTTTTTATTTTGCCTAATATCTTTTAGATATTTTTGTTCTTTTTTACTACTATAAACTTTTTTCTAAAGCTGAACTGTTTGAAAAGTAGAATTTTTAAATAAAATTCTCGATTTTGCGGTGGTATTTTGTATAAGAGTTTAATAGGTGAATACCCGTATTACTAAAGAATTTCGATGTTACATATACATATATATTATTTTAGAACAACTTCGAACTTTTATATACGGACTTTTCAAAGGTAAAGTAACGAATAACCTTCACATTACCTTTGTAGGCTAATGTACTAGAAAATTTGTAAAAAATGTTTTCCATTTTTTTTTATTTGCAAAAAATTTTATTTACGATATTTTCAATTTAATTTTTATAAATATTTTGCAAAAAATAAATTTCAAAAAAAAAATTGGAAAATATTTTCTAAAAATTAAAAAAAAAAATTGGGAAATATGAAAAAAATTGTTCAAGTTGAAAATATCGTAAATTAGACAGAACTATTGAAAATTTATGCTTAAGTATTAGCATTTTGAAGAAATTCATTGCTAAATAAAAAATTCAAACAAATTTTTGCATTCGTAAATTAGACAAAATATGTTTTATATGTAATGACAATGAAAATTAGTGCCAGAGAGTGGATCTTTAAGAGATTCTATAAATAATAAGTGCTAAATTATTTGATCTCTACGCATTTGCACATAGTTATGCATAGTATATACATACATACATACATAGGTATGTATACGTAAATAATGACATGCGAAGAGAAAAACACACCTACATATACATACATTTTTTGAAATTAACATACATTTTTTTTATATAAAAATGTAGAAGGATATAAAAATAAATAAAAAAAAGTTTAAAAAAAAATCGTAAAAAAAGTTTTGAAAATTTCCTTTTACTCAAAAATATAACTTTTTGGAGTCAACATTTTTTTGAAATATTTTTAAAAGTTATTTATAATAATATATAAATWCAAATTTAATCATTTTAAAGGAAAAAAAACTACCTACTAGCAATTTMAATTTCTTTTTAATTTAAATGTTATAAAAAATATCGCTAAATAAAAATGCAAAACAAAAAATTAAATGCGAATATTTTTAGGTCAAATTATTATGAATATTGTTTAAAAATAATATAATTGAATTATTGGCTTTAAAAGCGATAAAACAAATACGCATATTTGAAAAAAAAAATCACTAATTATTATTTTTGTTTTTTTTTGGGTCAAAAGTTATTTTTGAGGGTCAAAACCATAATTTTTTGGGGTAAAAAAATGTTTGTAATGATTCTAATAATTTCACACAAAATAATTGAAATTTTTAAATTTTTAAAATAAAAAGAAATCAACTAACAAAGCAGAAAACTTAATCATTATTTTGCTTAAACATTTTATATGTACATCTCTGTTATTAAGGCGTAGTGTAGTGGAACGTTAAAGAGTAACTATAGTATGTATATTTGTGCAATAACGAACACCAAAAGTTGGAGATAATCGTAAAATAGATCTGAATAATAAAATTTGCATGGCAGGCAGAAAATTGAGTGTTGCATAAATACATAAAATATAAATAAAGTATAGTTAAAAAAATATAGAAAATGTTCCATCAGCTCACAAAGTGTAAGTGAAATTTATAGTTAAAATGGAAAAAATTTTCCATAAGTTCACAAAGAAAAATGAAATTTATAATTAAAATTGAAAAAAAAAATCGATAAGCTCCTAAAATATAAAGTTTTTTAATTAAAATAATAATGATTAGTGAGCACCCATATTAAAAGTTTTTGGACATACAAGTACCTAGAATTCAAAATGAATATATTGATATCCAAATACATTAATAAAAATATTTACATATCACACACACATGAATAAAAGTGTAAACCCCACATAAGCTTTTCGATAACAGCAGAGATGCATATATCGATAGAGTTATTCATACAAACAATATAGAAAATATGACGAATTCGATGTAAGAAATAAAGCAGCCAATAGTCAGATACGAGTATGTATGCATGTGTGTATGTGCCAAATGTAACTATGATTATGTATAGATATATGGTATACGCATATCAGATATCATAAATGCACTTATGTAATGAGGCTAAAACTAGTTTGAAAGTTTACTTAAGTCGAATATTGTTGATGTAAGCCAATGTAGGTCAAACAAAATATGCAGACATATGATAAGGGGCATTCACAGCGCGATTTATGTAAAATTTACTAACGTGAAATGATGAACTTTTTGCTATTTACAAAGCATAAAGTTAGAAAAGTTATGTTTACGTGTTAAGTTTAAAAGGCACTGTACGGAACAAACGAATTAAGACAAGCTATATAAGAGTAACGCGCGGAATTTGTTCTTGAAGCATAAAAATTATAGCCAAATGGCAATAAAAGCGAAAAAAAATATTTTTGAGCTGCATTGCCACAATATTAAACATTTTTAGACTCGTTTAAGTGCACAAATTGTTTTAAAACACATGATCACTCATTTTATAAACCATATATTTGATGAAAAGTTGGTTTCAATTGAAAAATTTAGTTTAAAAAAACCGTTATTCGTTATTTAACTAAAACTACTAAATCATCATATAAAACACTGTAACGAGTGCTTTAGAACGTGTCCACCACATTTTGCTCACACTGTGAATAACCCTAACACCTGTGGGCAAACTAAAACATACGTATATAGAGCAAGTTGTAACTTGTAGATAGCTTTTTTTTTACTAGCAAAACGAAAATAAATGATAAAAAGTAGTAGCAGTAAAGTTGTTGCTTGGCAGCACCTGGACTCCGCGTAATCGGAACGCGCATAATAGGCCGCGCCAACACCGCCGACACCAGCGTAGTATGCTGTTAAACTAACGCCACCGACGCCGCCGCCCGTTATGGCACTAATGCCGCTGCCAATTTGTGACAGATTGCTTGTGGAGCGCGCAGCGCGTAATGCCTCGCCAGCGGTTCCGTACATGCTGCCCGTAAAGTCGTCTAGCGTTGTAGAGTTGAGTGACATATTCGTATGCTGTTGACTGTAAATCATATGTTGTTGCTGTTGTTGTTGTTGCGAATGCAGTTGTCGCTGTTGCAAATGACGATGGTATTCATTGGCTTGTGAAATGTATGCTTGTGTATACCTAAAGTTAAGGAAGTGATTGATGATGATTGCAAATTGAATTTGTACAAAATTACTGCTAGATTTTATAAATTTTACAAATAGTATTATTTGTTTATTTTGTTGAATTTAAATCTTTTAATTTTTTTGGTTTTTTGAATTTTTGAAATTTTTTTTACAAAATTATTATTATTTTCTTGTTTAAAACTTTAAATTTTTGTTGTAAAATTTTCAAACTTTTTTTATAAAACTCCGATTTTTTTTTTTTTTTTTTTACGGGAAGGTCCTTCTACTTACAATTTTCTTTTTTTTTTTTTCTTATTATCTTATAGAATCTCTCGCTTCCAACTACTTGAAAAAATATCTTGTTCCTTAGATTTTGTAGGAAATTTAATGCTCTACAAAAAAGGTCTGATTTTTTTTCATTGAGTTATAAAATTCGTAAGAAAATACGTATGTGTATCTCTCTGTCCATTCGTTCGTCGACCGGACCAAAATTGCAAATATGAAATCCAGGGTGTATAGCTGACTTTTTGCCAAAATTACGGTTCTATTTGTAAGAAATGTTATTGAAATTCGGGACCGAA